GCCCGCCCCCCCCCACCCCCCACCACACACACACACACCCCGCTGGGGGTGCTGTGTAGGGCACCAGAATGGTGAGGGACAGCCCTGGAAATAGTTTATTCACGGAGTATATTGTAAAGTAAAAGCTGCACAGCTCTTCAAATTTCAGGAGAAGGGCTCTTTAGGACAGGCTTGCTGAGGTACACAAAATAAGAACTTCCTTGTGCAGGCCTCATAGGTGCAAGTGTTAGGAAATCTCAGTTGGGTCTAATCAATAATTTCACAGTTTGAAATTCTCTTTTTTTGTGTCTTTCCCCATCCCCACCCAAAAAATAGGAAAATTCATGTTAAAAAAATGACTAAAGCATTTTTTTTGTTTTAATTTTACAAGACCAGGAACCAAGAGTGGCGATTAGAAAAGGTTGGCAATAGAAAGTGATACTTTGAAATCTTCCTTTGACATGCGATGAGCACTGACCAGTGGCGAGTCACAACCCCAGGGGAGCTCTTTCATGGACAATTGTGAAAAATAAATTAATGTGTGGACAACTGAGGGCAGCCTATATACCTCATCAGGTATGGTATAAAATTTCCCAGTTTAATCCAAAGGCATAAAACTTCCAAGCTATAAATGGGTTCCTGCCATGCCCGCAGATGCATAGACTCAGGAATGGGAATTATCTGTAGAGCACAATGTTGTACAATAAAGGGTCTTCTCAAGCATACCAGTGTCCCTACTACAGTGTAAATTAAATATAAAGGATTTAATCTGAAGAGCAATAGAATAGTAAAGATATATTTTTATTGTTCACAAAAAACTTAGGTTTGCAATAAGCTAGTTACCTTCTTCCAAGCGTCAGCAATGGATTTATGCAAACCATAAGGAATCAGCACCTGCAGACCTTCACAGGTACCATACATCTGACGACACACAAAAATGAAAGCTCCTTTAAGGGCTGGCAACATCTCGGTTCCAGACAAAACAGAAACATTTTCATCAAGGAGTTTCTTTGTAAATTGAACAATTGTATGGGCTGCTGTAAGACTAGAAACAAAATAGCCCTTTTAAAACATTGTTTTGTAGTCACTAATAAACAGCATAAAATTAACCATTTTGATTAGCTCATGCAATTTCTACAGCAGAAGTGTAACAGGACTGCTGGGAAGTCCTAGGGGTTGAAGTCATGGCCCCTTTAAGTTAACCCCTCCCCCCCAAAAAAAGAGAAAAAAAAATTGTTCCAATCTCAGTCAGAGGAAAATAAAGATCACTGGGCACTTTCCTTTGGGCTACAGATCCAAACAAAACAAATGTGGAACAGATTCTGTCCACCTAGTCCAAACAAGGGTGGATAAAAATTAATGATTTTTTAAGACAAAAATGATTTTTTAAATTTAAATCAAATTATCTTAATATAAATTAAATACATTTTTCTTCTTTAAAATGCTAAGGACTCAATTTACTATAATCTATTACCATCATTTGAATTAAATTTTAATATGTATATATTCAAGCAGTTCTGTTTGCTGACGAAATTTTAAAGAAAGCCAAGTGACTGAACTGTTGGAAATCACTGGTTAAGCATCTAGAACCAGGTTTATTGAAGTGCTAAGCCAGCTTTTGACAGTAGCTACCTCTGTTGCAGATACAGTGAGACTATTTACTTCATTTCAATTTATTCTACTAGTTCGGTTCAGTGACTAACTCATTCAAAATTAAGAAACCAGCTGGGAGTTGAAAAAGAAGGAAACCTCATTTTCCTCAATCAATCTATTAATAAAAACAAATTGTGAGAAGATGAGATCTACTATTCCTAAAATCTTAAAGGACATAGTGACCAGAAACAATCAGATCAACACACTAACTACAGATTATATATATATATATTGTTTAAAATACAAAACATATTTGGTAAACTTACTTTGTTTTTCAAAGTCGTTTTATTCAACTAATAAAACCATTTATAAATGTTGTTTTGGGGCATTTTCATTTAATTCCAATTTACAGACACATGCAGCTTAACACAGATAACAAGTAAAAAACTAATCTAGTAAAAAAGTGCATCATTCACCATTTTTACATAATAAAATGTAAATATTAAGAATGAGAAAATATATGTTAAGCTATATAACTGCTGATATAAGCAAATAAATGTGTATAGATATTTAAAGCAAAAACAAAACATATGTCCTTTATAAATAACAGGGAGTAACATTTTTTTAAAGTACTCTCTTACCTATCCTTTTTGGCGGAGCTCATGTTTCCTCCATAAAGGACAAGAGAAAGGCCATCTTCTACAGCAGCAATCCTTGCCAAAATATCAGCTATATGTATTAAAGAGGTTTCAGGGCAATTTATATATATCTGTTTTGTTAAAAAAATACATTAGTTATTTAGGTAAATGGCTTATAAAGTTTCTTTTTACATTTGTAATATGTTTCTGTAAAATATGCTTGTACAAGTCTGGCTCAGGTCTTTAGTGACCAATGGTCACCCTTATGGATGTTCAATGGCCTAAACCCGTGATACTCAAATTTAAGCCATATCTACACTATTGGCTAAATTGGCACTTCTGCGATTGATGCAGCGGTGTTGATTTAGCAAGTCTGGTGAAGACACACTAAGTCAATGGGAGAGCGTTCTCCCATTGACATCTGTACTCTACCTCCCCAAGAGGCAGAAGCTATGTCGACGGGAGAGCATCTCTTGTCAACATAGCACGGCGGAGACACCACTGTAAATTGATCCAAATTACGGCGACTTCAGTTACATAATTTACATAACTGAACTAGTGTAACTTAGATTGATTTATAGTGCTAGTGTAGACCAGCCCAGATGCTTGCGAGCCACAAGTGGCTCTTTAATGTGTCTTCTGCGGCTCTTTGCAACACATGATATTAAAACACTGTGTGATTTAAATATTAACCAATTTAAATTATTACTAACGTAGTAAAAGCATCCTGATTGGTTAATCAATTAAGTTATTAATTTATTTGCTATGAGAGTGTGCGTGTCTGTATTACTACAGTAAATGGAACAATGAATTCACACTACTGTGGCTCTTTTGGATAATGTTGATAGCTAATTTGGCTCCTGAACCACTGACATCTGAGTTTCACTGGCATAAACAAAATTAGTAAAAGGCCTCTGTTCAAATTAAAGCACGTACACATCCACGTTTAATGATACTGCCAGGAAAGATTTCAGAGAGGTAGCCTGCTCCTATATTTTCCAATCCATGCATCTGATGAAGTGGGTTCTAGCCCACGAAAGCTTATACACAAATACATTTGTTAGTCTCTAAGGTGCCACAAGGACTCCTCGTTGTTTTTGCCAGGAAAGAGTCCATAGACTGAATCAGCATGGAGAATGGACTATCCATACACGAAAGGTGATACTGTAATGAAAATAAACTATACCAATTAAGCACCTTTATAATGGATAACAACATCCACACTATCAGGTTGCACTGATTTCCAATACCACAAGAATACACTTTAACAAAAGTATTGATTTTTCTCACACATCTCTTTGATATCGTAAGATTTAAACAAACATTTCAAGTTTATTTGGGGGAACACTACAAACCTCTGTTCCATTCAGTAAATTATGAATGGGATGAAGAAGTGCATCTATCACCGTATTAGAATATAAACATTCAGTAGCACATTCAGTTCGGTCACACAGAATTTGTAGCACCTCTGTAGCAAGGATTGCTGGAGAATAATTGCCTGTCAAACACAAGAAGTATTAGTTTATATTTTTAATATAAATTAACATTAATATATTATCATAACTTTTACCCAGATACTTACTTGAGTCATCTTCAGTTGGGTAATATCCAGTCAAGAAAGAAAGAAAACAAAAAAAAGTTTGCAAACTGTTATTTAAAATGTCCAAAATTAAAAGTAACCAGATATAAAAGGTATTGAATTCTTCCTTTATTCACAAAGTGATACAATTAAGAAATGAATTAAAAAGGGCAATATTACCTGTGTGCACTGTCAGAGTTATCTTTGGGCAAGTGGGAGAGCAATAAATAAATCGAATAAATAGTACCAACAGGTCAGTTAGGGATATGAAATCTACAAAAATCACAAAGGAAAAAAAGGAGTCTATAAAATAAAGCATTATATTAACCTCATAACAAAAATGAACTTTCTAGACATAGGTAAGCAACTTCTTGTTTTATTGTGATTAACGGCTTTATCTACAGATGACACACTATAAAAATTTTGGACTGTAGCCACTTAGCTAACCACTGTAAATACTTCCAGATCATCTTATATGGCTTGATTCTCTCCCATTTAAATCAACTGGACTTTTACCACATCTTCTGTGGAAGTAGGAGGTGACCTATAATTTAAAGGTATTGAATACATGTACGATATTTATGAATAACTGGACAAACTCCATCCAGTTTATTACAAGTTGAAGTTAATTGTAAAGGGAATTTTCCATAAATTTGCAACAAGACTGTGGATTTAACTTATTATCTCAATGTCGCCATAATTTAACCATTCTTAGTACATTAACTGCTCCATTACTACTTTCACTACTCAGACAACAATACAAATTTACTTACTATTAAGGATGAAGAAATTAGGCCCCATGCTCAATTTTAGCCACACTATGTCTAACAAAGACTCCCAGTTACAGAAGTGCTGAATAATAGGAACAATCTCACTAACATCTACAATACCACATTTGAAACACAGCTTAACTATAAACACATTGTCATTAAACAACTTCCTTTTTCCTCCACTTGCCCATACCTTTTCTATTTTCCAGCTGTACAGGAAACAGATTTCTGCCTTGTTTATATATCAATAATCTTCCTAAAAGGCACAGTGAATGAACAAAATAGATATACTGTAATTCTTGTCCTGAGTAGAAAGTCTTCTGGTTATTGCCTTAAAAAAAAAAGAACATTTCTCACAATTCAGTTATAATTTTCAGTACCATACCTGTCTATTATGTATTCCTGTTTGAACCACCAATAAATGTGTAGTACAACATTTGTAAAGGAAGTTTCCCAGATAGCATAAATAAGCAAATATCACTGAAATATACTTTTTTTCCCATTTCAAGTGAAAAAGACATAAAGAGCTATTTCAAAAGATTATATATAAAGAGATTTTTGTGGGGTGAAAGCGTGAGGGTGTATTCTTCTTTTGCCATGTGGAGCTCAGATATCACAGTAATAAGCATAGTATAAAAATCTAGGTTTTATACATACATATAAAATTGTACAACATAATAAAATAATTACTTACTCCTGTACTGCTGGGGCAAAACATTAACTCTAGAAGTTGCATCAACTGCTGATTCACATGATTCAAAGTAGTAAACACACTGTTGAACAGATGCATTAATCTGAAAAAAGCACAATACAATAAAACTTCCAACACCTCACAATAAATTAATTCTCCTTTAGATCCAAGTATTGCCTCTTAACAACAGGGCCTGAATTTTCATATGATTGCACATAGTTTAAAATGAATCAGCCATTTACCAAAAGGAGGGAAAATCTTCCAAAGCAATATAAGTGCCACTGAAAAGTCCATAATGTTTATCAATAGAAACCTCAGATCTACAGGTATCAAAAGGATTATTCTGCGAAAAGGGTACTTTATGAAAGCTAAGAGAAGTACAGTATTTAGTGTTATTCAGGAACATTGATATGGAAACTGTGTGGTGGAAATTATTTCGGGATGTCAAGAAGTTCAGCAGGTCAATCTAAATCACAACATTGTCCAGTTATACTGGAAGAAGGACAAAAGACACAGGGTATGGTTTAATCAGCCCCCAACTTTATTATTAGATGTCTGAGATAACCCGGCACATAAAATAATATAGTGCAGGTAACTCCATGTTCATTTCAATATCTACGTGGGGGCTTCCACCAGCCTCCCTTTTTCAAGCCAACCTATTGCTGCTCCACCTGGTCTGGTGAAAAGGGGCTTCTCTTGCTGAGCTTGCCCTTATCAACTCCCCAGCTCTTCCAGTCCCTAGGGGAGGAGTCAACTGACCCCCGGTGATTTCTTTCTTTTCTTAAAGTGATATACCCCGTCTTTCTGCAAGCCAGACAATGCTTCCCCTCCCACCGCTTAACTAAATAAAAACATGTTCTAGGGTAGCATCGTAAAGATGTCAGGAGAATAAGCTACATATGTCCAAAAAGCCAACTGCTTTCTTTAACTTATCGCACGTTTTAATCACCCTTTTAAAATAATTTCACTCATGGTCTCTTTTCACTTTTAATTGCCATGTTTTTTTCCTGCTTCAAAAGGACACCTAATCTGGTCTTCAAAGCCTCAAATTATTTATTCTTTTTCTTCTTCCTCCCAATGTACCGTACAAAGGTGTCTATATTACTGAATATGACTGATCAAATTCAGCACTGGCTTAAATGTGTATGCTGGTATAAGCTAGATATTTGATTAAGATGATCTGAAAGTTTGTGGTCAACATTTTCAAACCTATGTGCCTAACATTAGACTTCTAAATTGATGTTTAATTATTTAAATAAGCGGCCTGATTTTCAAAGGTAGAGAGCACCTGCAGCTCGCATTGATTTTGATGGGATTAATTGGTGGCCAGCAATTCTGAATATCAACTACACCTCTACCCCGATATAACGATGTCCTCAGGAACCAAAAAATCTTACCGCATTATAGTTGAAACCGCCTTATATCAAACTTGCTTTGATCCGCCAGAGTGCGCAGCCCCGCCCCCCCAAGCACTGCTTTACTGCACTATATCCAAATTTGTGTTATATTGGGTAGCATTATATCGGGGTAAATATATTTTATTTAGGTGCTTAAATATGGACTTAGAAGCCTAAGTTTTGTCATCAAAATTTGAAATGTTTGGTCAGAGGATCCATCTATACTAGTCAAATGTATCAGTCCTGAACAATATTGCTAGCACTGATGGTATCTGCAAAAGGCTAGCATGTTTATGCTACCAAATATTTTTTTGTTAAAAAAAAAAGGGTTTTCAACACACAGCACTCTACTCAACAGGTGCTGCAATCAAAACTGCAGATGTACATCTGCCCAGAAACATGTTTTTGAAATTACTAAATAATGCAACAGTTCAGCTGTTTCTTATAGAGCTTGGGCCAAGGTAACTAGTCAGTAGCCATCTTTTTTGGCTTTTGCATAGCCCGGGCTGTGGAATTTGCATTATTCACTCTCCAAGGATTCCCCAGGAAACCCACTTAACATATTGTGCCAAAAGTCCATGTCTGCTGCCACATTTCAATATAGTCGTTTGAACGCCTTACACTTCCCAGGCCCCACAACTGTCACACAAGGGTCTGCTCACGTGGAACAAGTTGCAGTATTGGTGCTTTACATATGTGATATGTTCTGCCTTAGCCTTACAATTTTTGATTGATGATGCTTGATTTCATAACCTTAATATTGCATTAACAGGAGGGGTCTTTTTTCATTAAACAGTTTAAAGCCAAACTCAAGACGTATGTTTTTATGACAATTTTCCACATGTTTATCATCATCTATATGTATGTCTTATGCAGTAAATCTATAATATGACATGTATAAATAGTATTAAACAACAGTCTCATTTATTAAATAGCTGATATCAAACTTTTCAATTTCCCCTTATTCAAATCTGCTCGCAAGCCCCATATTGCATTTAGCACTGACAAAAGACTATCAGATTCTGAAACAATTTTTTTAAACCAAAGACGTGGCCAATTTAAAAAACTATCACATGGTCCACCGAAGGAAAAAAGACCAGCCACAATGGAGCAGGGCCGGCTCCAGGGTTTTGGCCGCCCCAAGCAGCCAAAACAAAACAAAACAAAAAAGCCACGATCGCGATCTGCGGCGGCAATTCGGCGGGAGGTCCTTCGCTCCGATTGGGAGTGAGGGACCGTCCGCCGAATTGCCGCCGAATACCTGGAAGTGCCGCCCCTCTCCGGAGCGGCCACCCCAAGCACCTGCTTGAAAAGCTGGTGCCTGGAGCCGGCCCTGCAATGGAGGACAAGAACAAACAACTGCTCAAACCACAAGGAACAAAATGGAAATAAATTCCAAGCAGAATATGGCAACCACAAATATAGACTTACCAGAGATTTATATTTCTTTTCAAGGAGCCTTAGCACCACTGTTCTGCTATAATTTGCATGCTAAAATTGTAAAATAGAAATAGTGTGAACATCTATCATTTGATTTAATTTTTACTTTGCAACACAAAAATCAAAGTTCTCCAATTTTATTCCAATAATTACTTCACAGAATTAAGTTCTAACTCATGTTAATCACTATTGCATACAGGCATGTTTTTCTATTGGCATTAGATTAGGGTAGCCATAAAAAAGAGAGGATTACAATAAAACGACAGTAGTTCTAGAGATAGGCCAGAATGAAAATAAACACAATGTGCAGTTTCACATGTACCAAACTAGAAAACCAGTAACTATGCTTAGATGACAGGATATGGCTTCATATAGAGCTATGCAAATCCTGAATGGAATAGTTGTGAGAGGCAGAATGCAAATTGACCCTTTTGTGCTCCTTGGAGGATAGCTAATTCTAACCTCAAAAGGAACCTATACCACACCTTCCCAATGAAGCTATTCTCTATCCTTCCACCTGTACCCTTCTCTTTAACATGGCCCAGGACTATTGCCACACACAACTTTTTATATATGTTTCTCATTGTTTTATGATGTTTATATTGTAATGAAGGGTTAAAATTTAATCACCTTTACTTAAAAACTGTCACAAAAGATGCATTTTAAACTACTTCTGCACCAATTACTTTCTGCCCCCAAAACCCTTTAGCAGGTATATATACCATATGTTATAGTCTATAGAATTAGTTACAACCTGGAATCACTGTTTCCAATCTTTATGAGTTAAACATTCTGAAATACATAAAATCCATCAGCAGATCCTTCCATTTTTCCTTACCATCCATTTTTTAAACCACACAGCTTTGATATCAAGCAGAGCCAAGAAGTAGACTGGATCCAAAAGTTTTGGAGAGACAAGGTGTCTTTGATCACGTTTTACTGACAACAGCAATAAGGTACTCTCAACTATTTCTTCCATATACCTTAAGAGATTATGAGAAAAAAAAATGGTCAAGTGTTAAATCGAATTAAATTTTATACTGGTACCATTCAAAAATAATCTTGCTTATAATACTGGAAAACTTTTTGAACTGAGAAATATTATATATACACACAGTAAATGGAAATTGAATTACATTTAATTTGATCTTTTAAAGTTCTTTTTCAGCCCTTGTTGTGTTACAGTGAATAAAACGGATAACAACATGCATATTTTTATATAGCATCTTACCAACAGTATATAAAACAGTATATAAAAGTTGGCTAGTAATTATTATTATTAATTGTTTACCCACCATTGAAATGCAGTCTCCTCCACGACAAAAGAAGGTAAATGTTTAACTATGCATAAAAACTACTACCCAAATTGTTAGGGAAAAGAATACACTATCATTCAATTGAAACTGCAGGGGAATTTAAGTAGGTAGAATGTAATTACTCAGACTTGGATTTGGCCCGAATCCTGGGGCCAAAGTCTCTGACTGTTGGGGAAAATGCCACTGATCTTTTAATTAAAGTGATTAGCCACTTTTCTCTCATCTGAAAAACACCTCCAAAAGCAAAGCACCTCCGATATGCTGCGGCACTGGACCATCAATGACTTGGTGACTGAGTATGTAGCACTCTTAATTCCAACACTTCCTGCATCACGCAGTCATACTGAGTATTGGAGATCCTGACATCTGTTGGCATATGCTAGAAGATGTGAGGAGAGGATAAGGTTTCCAGAGAGTCTGGAGAGGAGGTAGATTATTTTGAGTGCACTGATGGAGAATTGATATCATGCAGCTGATGCCAAGCTGTAGTGGAACTAGCAGCGAAAAGTGTTTGCCTGCTTCCCCAAAGGTATGGGGCCTGAAGGCTGAAAGACAGTAGGAGAAAAGGCTGAAAGGCACAGAAGTTGAACTAGCTATGGAGAGAAGAAAGCTAGGGTTATTTGTCAAATGATTCTTTATGATTGGAAAATAAGGATGGCGGGAATGGAAAGAGTTTATATCAAAAAATATATTTACACAAAGACACCTGCATAGCTGATGGCAGTTGAGGGAGATAATGAAGTAGTAGCCCTGAATTGGCAGATGTGAAATGGAAATGGACTTTCTCTAAGACTGTGACTAATTAATTGGAAGAAACCAATATATTTATATGAGTAGTATACTAAATTAAAGAGGAAAATAATATGGTACCAAAAAAAAAAAGGCATAGTGGGGCACAAAAATGTTTTGTACGTGCAGTAATCATCCGATATGTTTATTCAGAGATTCACAAATTTGAAGGCCAAAAGGAACCACAATGATAAAATCAAGTCTGACCCTCTTTGTAACATGGGCCATAGAGTTTCACCAAGTGGTTCCTGAATCAAGCCCATAAATATGTAGTGAAACAGTTGAAATCCATCAAGCAAGGCCTGAATAAAAGGGTTACTGAAATTATGCAGAGACTGTAGAGTGAATTCATTCCCTCAAGTGTCTACACAGCTGGACTGCACCCATTACTATAACCTATTGATAGCATCGCTCCTTTAAACTAATTTCTTCAACACAAAACAACAGAGGGTCCTGTGGCACCTTTAAGACTAACAGAAGTATTGGGAGCATAAGCTTTCGTGGGTAAGAACCTCACTTCTTCAGATGCAAGTAATGGAAATCTCCAGAGACAAATTTGATACCATCAGATCAGGATTAAACAAAGACTGTGAATGGCTTTCCAACTACAGAAGCAGTTTCTCCTCCCTTGGTGTTCACACCTCAACTGCTGGCAGAGCACCTCACCCTCCCTGATTGAACTAACCTTGTTATCTCCATACTGATTTATACCTGCCACAGGACCCTCTGTTGCTTTTTACAGATTCAGACTAACACGGCTACCCCTCTGATACTTCTTCAACACAGCCTTTTAACTCCTTTTTCCTCATTCCCATCCAAAAGTGCTTTCCTTATATAGACCCTTTGTATGTGCACAAGAGAAAAAAAACAAGGAACAATAAGTCATAAACTGAATATCACTACTAGTTCCACCACTTCCTCTCCCTCACCCTCCACCCCCAATTCCTCATGTGTTCTTTGTTTAGGTTATAAAATTCTCAGCATAGGGGCCTTGCCTCTTGATCTGTAAAGAATCCAATAAAATAAAATAAAATAGTAATGAAGGGAAGGAGTATAGACCACTGTCCACAGTGAGCCTCTAAGTAGTTTTGTGATCCAATGGATCCATGCCATGATAGATCCACAGGCCATTCCCCTGTCCCATGCTCAACCAGCTCTCAGTCCCTCTCCATCACCCCCACAATCCAGACATTTGGATACACATTACTAATCTTCTGATAAAATTCTATGCCTTTAAACACTAATGTAAAACATATTTATCTTAGAAAAAAGGTGACA